GAACAAATGTTAAATATAACTGCTACACATTCATTCTTATTTTCAGTTGATACAAAATGGATAAAAAGCTGAACAAATGTTAAATATAACTGCTACACATTCATTCTTATTTTCAGTCAATACAAAATGAATAAAACTGAACAAATGTTAAATATAACTGCTACACATTCATTCTTATTTTCAGTTAATACAAAATGGATAAAAAGCTGAACAAATGTTAAATATAACTGCTACACATTCATTCTTATTTTCAGTTGATACAAAATGGATAAAAGCTGAACAAATGTTAAATATAACTGCTACACATTCATTCTTATTTTCAGTTAATACAAAATGGATAAAAAGCTGAACAAATGTTAAATATAACTGCTACACATTCATTCTTATTTTCAGTTGATACAAAATGGATAAAAAGCTGAACAAATGTTAAATATAACTGCTACACATTCATTCTTATTTTCAGTTGATACAAAATGGATAAAAAGCTGAACAAATGTTAAATATAACTGCTACACATTCATTCTTATTTTCAGTTAATACAAAATGGATAAAAACTGAACAAATGTTAAATATAACTGCTACACATTCATTCTTATTTTCAGTCAATACAAAATGAATAAAACTGAACAAATGTTAAATATAACTGCTACACATTCATTCTTATTTTCAGTTGATACAAAATGGATAAAAGCTGAACAAATGTTAAATATAACTGCTACACATTCATTCTTATTTTCAGTCAATACAAAATGAATAAAACTGAACAAATGTTAAATATAACTGCTACACATTCATTCTTATTTTCAGTTGATACAAAATGGATAAAAAGCTGAACAAATGTTAAATATAACTGCTACACATTCATTCTTATTTTCAGTTAATACAAAATGGATAAAAACTGAACAAATGTTAAATATAACTGCTACACATTCATTCTTATTTTCAGTCAATACAAAATGAATAAAACTGAACAAATGTTAAATATAACTGCTACACATTCATTCTTATTTTCAGTTGATACAAAAATGGATAAAAAGCTGAACAAATGTTAAATATAACTGCTACACATTCATTCTTATTTTCAGTTAATACAAAATGGATAAAAACTGAACAAATGTTAAATATAACTTAACATTCATTCTTATTTTCAGTCAATACAAAATGAATAAAACTGAACAAATGTTAAATATAACTGCTACACATTCATTCTTATTTTCAGTTGATACAAAATGGATAAAAAAGCTGAACAAATGTTAAATATAACTGCTACACATTCATTCTTATTTTCAGTCAATACAAAATGAATAAAACTGAACAAATGTTAAATATAACTGCTACAAATTCATTCTTATTTTCAGTTGATACAAAATGGATAAAAAGCTGAACAAATGTTAAATATAACTGCTACACATTCATTCTTATTTTCAGTCAATACAAAATGAATAAAACTGAACAAATGTTAAATATAACTGCTACACATTCATTCTTATTTTCAGTTGATACAAAATGGATAAAAAGCTGAACAAATGTTAAATATAACTGCTACACATTCATTCTTATTTTCAGTTGATACAAAATGGATAAAAAGCTGAACAAATGTTAAATATAACTGCTACACATTCATTCTTATTTTCAGTTAATACAAAATGGATAAAAAGCTGAACAAATGTTAAATATAACTGCTACACATTCATTCTTATTTTCAGTTGATACAAAATGGATAAAAAGCTGAACAAATGTTAAATATAACTGCTACACATTCATTCTTATTTTCAGTTGATACAAAATGGATAAAAAGCTGAACAAATGTTAAATATAACTGCTACACATTCATTCTTATTTTCAGTTAATACAAAATGGATAAAAACTGAACAAATGTTAAATATAACTGCTACACATTCATTCTTATTTTCAGTTAATATAAAATGGATAAAAACTGAACAAATGTTAAATATAACTGCTACACATTCATTCTTATTTTCAGTTGATACAAAATGGATAAAAAAAGCTGAACAAATGTTAAATATAACTGCTACACATTCATTCTTATTTTCAGTTGATACAAAATGGATAAAAAGCTGAACAAATGTTAAATATAACTGCTACACATTCATTCTTATTTTCAGTTGATACAAAATGGATAAAAAGCTGAACAAATGTTAAATATAACTGCTACACATTCATTCTTATTTTCAGTTGATACAAAATGGATAAAAAGCTGAACAAATGTTAAATATAACTGCTACACATTCATTCTTATTTTCAGTTGATACAAAATGGATAAAAGCTGAACAAATGTTAAATATAACTGCTACACATTCATTCTTATTTTCAGTTAATACAAAATGGATAAAAACTGAACAAATGTTAAATATAACTGCTACACATTCATTCTTATTTTCAGTTGATACAAAATGGATAAAAAGCTGAACAAATGTTAAATATAACTGCTACACATTCATTCTTATTTTCAGTTAATACAAAATGGATAAAAAACTGAACAAATGTTAAATATAACTGCTACACATTCATTCTTATTTTCAGTTAATATAAAATGGATAAAAACTGAACAAATGTTAAATATAACTGCTACATTCATTCTTATTTTCAGTTGATACAAAATGGATAAAAAGCTGAACAAATGTTAAATATAACTGCTACACATTCATTCTTATTTTCAGTTGATACAAAATGGATAAAAAGCTGAACAAATGTTAAATATAACTGCTACACATTCATTCTTATTTTCAGTTGATACAAAATGGATAAAAAAGCTGAACAAATGTTAAATATAACTGCTACACATTCATTCTTATTTTCAGTTGATACAAAATGGATAAAAAGCTGAACAAATGTTAAATATAACTGCTACACATTCATTCTTATTTTCAGTTGATACAAAAATGGATAAAAAGCTGAACAAATGTTAAATATAACTGCTACACATTCATTCTTATTTTCAGTTGATACAAAATGGATAAAAAGCTGAACAAATGTTAAATATAACTGCTACACATTCATTCTTATTTTCAGTTGATACAAAATGGATAAAAAGCTGAACAAATGTTAAATATAACTGCTACACATTCATTCTTATTTTCAGTTAATACAAAATGGATAAAAACTGAACAAATGTTAAATATAACTGCTACACATTCATTCTTATTTTCAGTTGATACAAAATGGATAAAATGCTGAACAAATGTTAAATATAACTGCTACACATTCTAAAAAGCCCATGCATATAATGATACAGAACAAATGTTTTTCTTCAGAATTTTGTAACCCAAACTTGGTCATGTGTATTATACAAAGGTGCATATTACTGATAAATAATTATGGTATTTATATGATTCCTGGAATGATGTGAAAATTCTTCTTCAGTTAAATATACATCTAAGTTCCACTCAAACAATTTCTTCCCACAAACCACTGCTCTGTGGAACCGACTCCTGAGAGTATGTTTTCTTAATCCCTACAATCTTAATCTGTTCAAGTCTAGAGTTAACCATTATCTTCCCCTCCTGTCCATATAAACTACCCCTTAACGTAACCCTCTACCTTGAGTGGCCTCTGGGCCCTGTAAATAGTAAACCTACTGTAAAAAACATGTATCATTTATAGAGGTATTTGAGTTGACTCTTATTGATTACCATATATACTCAAGTATGACCAGTTTTCATGCAAAAAATAGGAGGTTGCACCATACACAGGAAAATGTTTTGAAGAGGTTAAAAATTAAACATGAATGAAAATAAAAGAAATCATTATTGCAGATATTTTACAATAAGTGTTTTTTCTCACCATTTTGGGTAGTTTTGTACAAAAAAGAATGACGACCATTTATTTGCTATAAAATATGTTCAGGTGGTTACCCATTAATGTAATATTTGACTATGGCATTGCTCAGAAGCTTGGGTCACATATATGAGCAATATGAAAAAATCAGGTATATCACAAAAACATTCAGGGGTCACACTATACATGAAGTAATATACAGTAACCCTTGATTGGTGGGTATCATTAATTGATGTTTTATTGGTGATTAATTTATTGATGATTTAAACTTTTTTATTCATGATCTGAGTATAAATGACTGATGGGCAACTCTAGGATTAATGAAATTATGTTATTTCTTGGAGTATTTGACAGCAAATAAAGCTGTAATAAGAAGTCAAAGACAGTGCTATATCTGCATGTATATTTTTCAAAGAAAAAGAGTCAAAAAAGGGTAACAACTTGGTGCAACAAATGCACAACACCATTGTGCATGGAATATTTCAAAGAGTATCAGATGGTTAAAAAATATTAATTTTAGGAATCTAAGATTTGTTTTATTTACCTATTGTCTTTAGTTTTATAAAATGAAAGAGATAAAATATTTTTGTACGTTGATTCATTCATTTTCTACTCCTTATCAACCCTTTGTGGGTTATTTAAAGCCAGAAAATATTTTTACATTGTCAGATTTTTTTGAGATAATAATGATTTAGTTATAAAAATCTTGTTATAACCCACAACTGGCAGTGGTAGGGGGAGATATGGATTCATGGCTAATCAGCATTTGATAAACAAACAAGAAATTATAATGTGGATATAAAGTGGAGGATCAATTCAATATTACAATCAATATATAAACTAATCCCCCAGTTTTTGGACATGATAGATTCTATACATTATAGAATGTAAATAAATCTAAAAGTCATTCCTGTATAGCTAATCAGTATTTGATGGATTGATTGATTCATTTTTTACAGATTATCAACCTTTTTCAGTTTATTTAAAATATTTTTAGATTGTGGAATGTTTTTTGAGATAATAATGATTTAGCGATACAAGTCTTACTAATTAACCCATAGCTGGTTGGAGAAGAGGTGGATTCATACCTTTCCAGACATATTTGCAGATAAGTGAATATAATGAACTCAATGAAAATTGGAACTCGGCTCTCTGATTAACAATTCTGAGCCATTATCTATTACATCACTTGCACATCAAAGCTTACAGCTTCTGGTATTCCCAAGCAGTTGCCCATCTAGGTACTGACCAGGCACAACATTGCTTAACTTCAATGATTGAACAGAAACTGGTTTTTCATTGTGATATGGCCATAAACCTCATTTTTATAGTTTTTATATATAATCACTGATAGGTGCCTGATATAAAGGGGTGTTCTTGATAATGGAAGGGAGGCTCAGATTTTTAAGGGGGATGTGCATGTGGGGCAATGGATTTGTGGCTCGGAATGAGAAATTGGAGAGCCGAGTTCTAATTCCAGCTTAATAATTTACATTCACTCACATGCAAGTACTCTTCGGAAAAGTATGGATCTATCACTCCTCCTCCCAGTTAGAGGCTAAATAGTATGACAGGCTGGGTTGTATAGCCTTGGTGGGCAACCATTCTAGAGATGGTGACTTCATAAAATTACCCATCTCCCCAAATCCTCGTCCATCTGCGGGGTTGCATTAGCATGAAAAAGCACATTGACTGAAATTCTTTAGTTGTGCTAGTTCTACTGCAGGTAGAGAAAGTGTCTACTTACTTCTTAATAAAAGGCGGGGGTCATTTAAAAAGTAAAAAAATAAACATATCCCATGGATACTGCTATTAGCCATGTAACAGTAAAGAGAAAGTAAGCACAAAAACTGGTAGGCTTGAAAAACTTGACATTAACACATAATGAGGAAAGAGGGTTTGAAGAATTTGACACTCATAAGACACATTGAAATATAGTAAAAGGAACAGCACTGCTAAGGTTTATAAAGGATGGGAAGTTGTTGAGAGCCATGACTGCCCATATCCTGAAGGGACATGACAAAGAATAACAATCATTTCGTATGCACATCCGAACAACTTTTTCCTGATATTTAAGGGTTAAAACAAAACATCTCATTTCAGTAGATAGCAGGCATGAAGTGAAATAGGTATAAAGATTACTAAGGCTGGAACCAAAAACTAAAAGCCATACCAACAAGTGTGTTGAAAGAAATAACGTTTTCATTGTAGAACTGTAAATAAAAACTAAAACCCTTACCAACAGGTGTGTTGAAAGAAATAAGTCTTTTGTTGTAGAACTGGAATTAAAAACTAAAAACCTTATGAACAAGTGTGTTGAAAGAAATAAGTCTTTCATCCTAGAAAGCACAAAAACATGTTTGATTATTCAGAATAATAATTAAAATTATACAAACAAATTGGCTGATATCAAAGATAAATGTTAACGAATATCAATTAACCATTTTTGCAATAGTTTTTGCCAGTTTATGAATGTTCCAGAAATGTTCTATTTTCTAATTTACAGTTTTTAGCAAACCTATATCTGTCCAAACTGTCTTTGAAGATTTGAAATCAAAGTAACAGCTAATTGAATATCGTGAGTTTTCTTTTCATGTCTATTTGAGAATTCTTTTGTAAAAATTGGTGATGGAAAAGGAACATTCCACTCTACAATTAGCTGGCATTAGTAGAGCCAGTTAACTGAACTAATGCTGAAATAGAATACTATGAAGAGACAAGAAATCTATAACTGCTCTCTCTTTTAATTATCTTAGAGAAATTTTATCACCTTCCATTGGTATGTCTGATGCTAACCTCCAGGAGAGCAACTCATCGTGCTTTCTTTGACATTTTCCACTGACAGGAAATGGTACATCTATATATTCTAGGAAATTTGGAGTGGACAATTTTTCTCACTGGAATTTATCTTCTACCTTTATAAGTATACCATTCCCCCATGCATTGAATATTGCTGTCACATCTAGTCTAGTTCTTCTGTTATGTATTGAGAGATACTTGACAAGATCCAAAGAAGAATCTGCAATGTTATCGATCCTGACCTGGCATCTCAGCTTCAATCAATTTCCCACCACCATAATATAGTTTCCCTGTGCCTTTTCTATAAATATTTTTCTGATAATTGTTCTGATGAGCTTTCTTCTTTGATATGTTGACATCATGAATTTAAGCATAGTTCTAGATTGGGAGTTAGGTCTCATTCTTTTACTGTTGCTTTCCAGTCAATTTTGATCTTCAAAAACTTAAATGCAATTAATAGAACAGAACTTATGATTTCATCCTTCAATTCCAGCTTCAAAATGATGATATCTGTTTGTCAATCTAACACTGAGCTTATTGTCTGTCATATTTAATGAAACATGTATCAATATGCAGAGTGCGATAAATAAATTGTCTAAATGGCACAAAAATGAAAATAATACTGATTTCTCATTTTAACAGATATATTTACCAATATTACACAAAAATATCTGGAAATACTAAAGAGTAAATGTACTCAATAACATTGCAATTGGCTTCAGTCATGGCCTCCAGACGACTTCAGAATCTCCTGCAACTCTTCTGGATGGTCTCCTGGTTTAAGTTGGTGAAAGATGCCATAATCCTTAACTTCAGTTCATCTTGGTGTTACAAGGAAATAATATTTACAATACAACTGAACTTAAGACAAAATTAAGAGAACTCTTCTTTCTTCAATTTCTCCTGACTTGTTAATATAGACAATACTTTTCAAAGACAATTCATAAATAAAAATTATAAAATGAAAATATGGCTACAAAGTACAAATACAGGGTGCAATGGTAAATTGTCTAAATTATGCAAAAATGAAAATAACACTGTTATCTCATTTTAACAGACATATTTACCAAAATTATACAAAAATATCTTGAAATACTAAAGAGTAAATTTATTCAATAAAATTGCCATTGGTTTCAACTACAGCCACCAAATGACTGCATAATGTTCTGCATCTCTTTTAGATGGTTTCCTTGTCAGTGAATGCTGCCAAAATCCTTGCTTTCAGTTATCTTTGGTGTTTTCAAGAAGTTTTGTTGATCTCTCACTCAACTGTACCCCACACATAATAATCAAGGGGGTTGCCATCTAGGGAGTTAGATGGCCAAATGTAAGGGATGATGTGGTCACAGAAATTGTCTGACAGCCATGTCTTGGTTCTTCTGCTTGTGTGGCATGGTGCAAAGTCCTGTTTCCAGACATTGGGTCAAGAGGGTGGTTAGTGGAAGACCCAGAGCAGCACTACCACTTCAAGGCACTTGATGTAGGCCTCCATGTTGAGTTCAATGCCCTCACCAACAAAATCAGGAGTTGTTTTCTTTCAGAATGATCAGAGTGAGTTTTCTGAGCTGCCATACTTTTGTAATCACCATTACACTCATCCAACTCTTTTCGCATCCTCTGCACTGTCCTCAGATTGACATTCAAACACTTTGAAATGTTTCTATTCCAGCTTGAATGTCAAGCAGTACAGCTTGTCGTTTCCTAATTTTAGACTGAGTGAAATGTGTCATGGTGCTCTTTTTCTCACAGATGGTGTCCAACTGACCCTACTATACTGTACAGTCAACAAAATCAAAAACAAAATATGCACATGTGTGAAATTGAAAATATAAAATGGTGGCAATTTGCCCATTGCACCCTGTATATATGAAAAACTGCTGCTCAAATATACATTATTCAAACTTCAGGCTGCTGCATCTAAAAAGGAAACTATACAACTACATTTCAGATAAAAATCATAGATGGACAAATAGAATCAATCAATGAAAAAATGAACCATCTCAATGTTGAAATTAAAGAAATTTCAAAAGCAACCACCACTCAAGAAAGCATCAACCAAATTGAGCAACTTGCAGATAATGGAAAAAATATTTTTCACAGACACCCAAGATAATTTTCTCGACCATTCCAATTACCAACTCAGCAATGAGAAACTTGAACACTTATGTAATATCAGTCCTCCTATATGGCAGTGAATGCTGTACAATCACCTCATAGATGAAGAGACTTGAGGTAACAGAAATGTGGCTCTTCAGAAGAATGCCAAGAATGCCCTGGACCAGACATGTGAGCAATGCTAAAGTTTCAGAGAAAAATGGAAACGAAAAGAACACATACTTAACATAAGTAAGCGATAGTTGAAATTTCTAAGGTGGAAAGAGGGCTTGAAAATTTTTATACTAACAGGACATACTGAGGTAAGAGGGATAGAGGAAATCAGTGCATAATCTACTTATCAAGCTTGATTAAATGAATGGCAAAACAGGAATTAGGAGAGATAACAAAAAGACAAATTTTAACCTACAAAGGATTAATAAACTTGGATGAATGTTTTCCTCTGACATAAAGTGGAAAGATTTTATTGAATCAATTGCTAGATCAGCTGCTTGGAAATTTCATTTCCCTGTTTTATGCTAGACAATGTTTCTTGCCAGAATCTATCTTACATATTTATAAGTCTACTATTTGCTCAGGCTTTGAATATTGCTACCACATCTGGTTTGATGCTTCTTCTATATATTTAAAGATCCTTGATAAAATCCAAAGAAGAATTTCCATTGTTATTGATCCTGACTTTGGCTTAAGTAACTTTCTCATTGCCATAACATGTGCCTTTTCTATAAATACTTTCATGACAAATGGTCTGATGAACTTCCCTCTATGGTACCTAGACTTTATGAATTTAAGTGCAGTACTAGATTGATGGCAAGGTCTCAACATTTTACACTTAAAATGGATAGTTGTAAGTTCTATGCTAACAGTTTCTTCTCTTGCTCTTTTCTGTAGAACTCTCTTCCAGCTTTTTGCTTCCCAGTCTATTTTGACCATCAAAAATTTAAATGCAATGTCAATCATTATCTTCTGTCTTTTTAATTCCTGAAGTGGAAAGACTATCAAATCCATTGCTAGATCAGCTGCTAAGAATGTTGGTTCATTGTGTCATGCTAGACAATTTTTCTCTCCAGAATCTATGTTCCATACCTATAAGTCTGCCATTTGCCCATTAGAATATTGCTGCTACATCTTGTCTGGTGGTTCAACTATTTATTTAGAAATTCTTGATAAAATCCAAAGGAGAATCAGCAATATTATTGGTCCTGACATGCTATCTAGGTTTCAATTACTTTCCCACCACCAAAAAGTTATTTCCATGTACCTTTTTAATAAATTCTTTCATGGTAATTGTTTGGATGAGCTCTTTGTTATGGTACCTAGACTTTATGAATCAAGTGCAGTACGAGATTGGTGGCAAGGTCTAATCAATTCACAGTTGAAATGGCTAGATATAACTGTAAT